ATCTTTATCTGCTACTTCGACCCTTCACTGAGATCTTAAAAATAAATAAGTAAACAGGGGACTTTTTGTCAATAAATCTGTAATTTTCCCACTCTTCTCTGCTGAGTTTGTTCGTTGATAGAAGTGATGACTGAGATTACAAGCTCAGCATTTTGATTTATTACGCAAACTTTCCCCATTTTTATGGGAATTTCATTTTGACCATCAATTAAACTGCTAATGTATTTTTGAGTTTATTCATTGTTTGGTCTACAGAAAAGAGAAAAGTTCATGACAGGTTTATTTGATTTGTTTTGCAGTCTGAATCCATTTGATGCCACGATTACTGTATCTTGGGCATAAAGTAGAATATCTGTGGTAGATGTTCGTAAATATTAAGATATTGATCCAAGATTTATTTTGGTTTTGAAATAGTTATTACATCAAAGTGGAGTGCTGTAATTCCACCATGTTAGGCAGAAATAATTATTCCCACTACTGAAATGACACCATTGCTCATTACTTCTCATGCATAAACTCTTTAGGCTGCATGACTACCAGCATTAGTATTAACAGCATTGGTAAATCACTTTAAGATGCCTTCTTATCTGTTTACAGTGAACATAACATTACATTAGACAGACCCATCTATACTGACACAATGATACACATTAACCCAGCAACCCACTGCACTTATGGTGTCTCAGCTTTCATTATATTAATGTATTTTTTTTTAAAAATCACAGGCTGAGGAACTGACCTGTAAATCAATTCAACAAACAGAGAACAATGGTACTTCCCCGGTGCATGCACTTAGAAAGCTACAACATTAACTGACTAAAAATTGATTAAAATTGTTGATCAGCAAAAAAAAAAAAAAAAAAAAGAGAGAGAGATGGTAGAAAAGTCACTGAAACTCAAACTATTTAAGTAATTAGGTCGGGGGTGGGGAGTTCACAGCTTAATCTATTTAATTCATTTGTGGATTTGGGCTGAAAGTACTGAGAAACATACATCTGCCCAAATGCATGTACGAGTCACTTTACTGGCTACACTAGTACTAGGCTGGACTGCACATCCATGATATTAATCTCCTTTTCTACCAAACACCAAAGGAGATGTGGTGACTGTGGAGGTCATTTAAGTGCAGTGAACTCGCTGTCTTGTTCAAGAAGCCAGACTGAGATGATTTGAACTTTGTGACATGGTGCACTGATAGAAGGAGCCATCAGAAAATGAGTACACAGTGGTCATAAAAGAATGGACGTGGTCAACAGCAATATTTAGGTAGGCTGTGACGTTTTAACAATACTCTGTTTGTACTACAGGAAGCCAAAATGTGCCAAGAAAACATTCCCCCGCACCATTACACCACCAGCAGCCTGAGCTGTTGATGCATTCATGTTCTTTACACCAAATTATGACGCTACCATCTGAATGTCATGGCAGAGATTGAGATTTAAATCACCTTTCTTCCACATTCTGATGCTCAGTTTGAACTTTACCAGGTCATCTTGACAATGTCTACATGCCTAAATGCATCGAGTGGCTGTCGTCTGATTGGCTGATTGGAGGGGATGATGGATAAATTCAAGTAACAATGTTTCTCCCTTCATATTTTATAGGCTCCTGAAACTACCTTTCATATCATTAAGAAAGTGATCCGCCCCAGCTCAACTTTTCATTTGCTCTCACGAGCTGAAAAGGAGCCGTTGTTTACACGTCACGAGCTTTACCCAGTCAGTAAAATCAGGCCGTGCTGTAGTTCCAAGCCTTGTCAGAGCAGCCCAAACTCTCCTATTAATAAGCCTTTACAGCAGCTTTGATCCACCTCCCAGCAGACAAGGTTGGGCAGATTGTAGTAAGGATTTTAAAGCCATTCATGCAATTTTCCAATAAACCCTTTTCCCCAAAGGGAAAATCACCAGAACATCCCAACAATGACTGTAAGAAGGTTCCTCTGAACCATGATTAAACGATTAAAACAGGCTGATTTTAGCCAACTGACTCCCAGTTAAAACAGTGAATTCGAAGTGGGGGCTTTATTTTAACAATGCACCGTGACATGACCTATCCGGGATGTAATCTTCTCTTAGGGACAGCCTGGAGGAGCTTCTATTAAGCCCAACACAAACTATGCTGGAACATCAGAGAACAATATACCTGTCAAACCCATGAGTGTTTCATCTTTTTAAAAAGCTATTTCATAAGATTAAAGACTTATGTGATTACTAATCAGCTCTGCCAATAAATATGCAGTCAATTAATGTGGTAAATAAGCAGGAAACTGCTCTTCCCTCAACATTAAGTTGACTTGATGGATTCTTTTCTTGTCAGACGCCAGCACACTCCCCGGCTCGAGTGCCTGGCCTGCCTCTCCGTGTCGTCTTTCATTTCCTTTTCACCCCCAGGTCTTTTTGTACCTGTCAATTTCTTTCTACAGTGTGACTCCTTAATCCACCTGAGTGCATAGAGGACAGTTTTGACATAAGAAGAAAAGATAGACTCCTAAGGAGAGGACCGGTATCTTTAGAGCCTTGGGGATAACCGGATTACGACAGCCATTTTGTGCTGCTGGCAGTTTTTCTTATTACCCATTTCCCCCCCATCATCTCTCCAGAGTTGAAACACTGCCCTTTCTTAGAAGTCACTCCAAACACAGACACAATACACGTTTTTCTTTTATTTATTTTTATTTCCCCCCCCAACTAAAACAACAGAGAGAGCTTTCTGCAGGATAAAGAAAAAAGACATATACCAGTGACAAAGATAGTTTCCCCGCGCTGCCCTTTGTGCAGTCTACCTTGCACGTTGTTGTTCTCAAACAGTGGAAAACTCTCTAAAACATGGTCCCTCTGCAGAAGCAATAATTGTCTCTGTGTGGCTGCGGGTGCCTCATGCGTGCGAGGCCCGTCTGAACCTACCGCACGGGAGATAACAGCACAGCTATGAGGAGACAGATCAGCTGTCTGACCCCTGCTGCCAATCACTTTATCCCTCCAGCCCGTCTGCTGCGAGGGAACCCACAGGGAAAAAAACACTCCCCGAAAACGTCTTATCATCTCCACCACCGACGCATTGTGCCCTATCGGATCTTTTATGTCCATTTATTTCGCCTTTGAAGATGCCTGCGGCACCTTTGATTGTGGGAGGTAAATGAAATAAAGCCCCCCCTTCTCGCTGGTACCATGATATCTGAATTCATCGCTGCAACCGAAACCTAAACCCTGAGCTTCAGCTGACCACCGCAGGTCTGCTCACAGACAAACACATCCTGCTTCTGTCGTGGGTATAATCCGTTTCGCAGAAGTCATTTTTGGGCCTGGAAACCCTGTTATATGTTGAGCCTCTACAGTACATGTATTCTATACATTAAACCATTAGGGTTACCTTTTATATTAGGCAATAATAAATTATATGCACATAAACTACATATAAATCATAGTTAAGTTGCTGCTAAGTTTCTAAAAATGTCATTTCAATAACAGATGAGAAAGCTGAAGCATACATTTGATCAGATAAGGTAGTAATGATAAAACCTGTAACAATCAATGGAGTCACCCAGGACCTGTGAATTACAGCTCTGATTAATATTGATCCCACAGAGTACGAAGGAGGGAGGGGTGAGCCACTCACGCACATATTGATATATAATAAACCTGCATTGTGTCATTGGACAGAATTCAAATGAGCGATGTAAAAGGTAAGAGTAAAAACTGATTTTGCGGCAAATGTTGAAGCGAGTTTGGAGAGAACAGAGATCGGGCCACGGTGGGTGGCATCGCAAAGTGGGAAAACTGCAGGAAAAAGGGAGGGTGAGAGTTTGGGAGCGTTTTGTTAAGATCGGACTGAGGTCTGAATCATTGTCAGTTTTACAACCATGGCATGCAAAAGTAAGATGTTGAGGCAAAGAGGCAAAGACCCTTGCCGGCAAGTTTCTTTCTAAAGACAGTCAGCCAAGCTGAATATGGGGAAATCTTTAAGGCATACTAATGAAATAGCACTTACCTGTATGGAAATGTACTGGTCTTTCCTCACTAAAGCCAGTGGAAGCATTTTAAAGGTGTCAGCTTATTATGCAAGGGCTTGTTGGGGTTTGGCCCACCAGCCAAGACCTGCAGGCATTCCCATTTAATTTAGTTTAACACAGGGCCATATTTCAAGAGCCGTGTCATCCGTGTTGGAGGGGAATCTGGAAGTTTTAGCAATTTGAGGGGAATTAACAAGCTGCAGTTGGATTTTTTGGGCTGATTACATTGGTTTTAGACACTGTGTTTTTTCCACCATGCATTTAAAAACAATAGGAGCTGGTTCAACGTGGATTAACAAAAGAGGTATGCAAGAATACTTTGAATGGACAGCACAAAATTTAAATAAAATAAAATAAAATAAAATAAAATAAAATAAAATAAAATAAAATAAAATAAAATAAGGGTAGCTGACTTCCTTTGAAATGAAGATTATTATTGTGCAAATGAGGCATTCAGGGCCACAAGCAGCCGCACCTTTCAACCCCCTCATACAAATCCTTTTAGCTTCTAGTTTTCTGCAGTCCAGCTTCTTCGCTGGTTTTCATCCCTGCTTCTCTCAGTTGAGATTTGAAGAGACTAAAAACTGTTGGAGAGCGAGAAGAGGGGGTGCCCCTCAAATGTTGTAGGCCTTCACAGTCAGTTTTTTTGTGAGAGGATTACAGTGCGCTCTCTCATTCCCATTGGCTTGGCCCGCCGTGACAGTGGTGTGATGATGAGGAGGATGACATGCCCAGCATCTTCCATAACAAGCTTCCTCTTGGTTCCATTCATACGCCCAGGCTTTTGGCTTTATGTAGTTTTCAGCTCCACTTTGTGTAAACGCTTCAGTCAATTTGGACTTAGTGTTAGCTTAAAATATTTCTCTGGCTATTCCCGAGAGTTCTTCGCACTTTTCCATTTTACTCACTAGAGAAACATGAGCTTTTTGAAGGAGTAGGTGAATTTAAAGTGCGGTCAGTAGGTGTTTTAATTAATGCGTCTGTCCCTGCGATGGCAAAACCTTTAGATCACATCAAGAGACCTATGAACGCCTTCATGGTTTGGTCCAGAGGTCAGAGGAGGAAGATGGCCCGGGAAAACCCGAAGATGCACAACTCTGAAATCAGCAAGAGACTCGGAGCGGAGTGGAAGATGCTCTCTGACTCTGAGAAGCGTCCCTACATCGACGAGGCCAAGAGACTGCGGGCTCAGCACATGAAGGAGCACCCGGATTACAAGTACAGACCCCGGCGCAAACCTAAGAGTCTCCTGAAGAGGGACCGGTTCGTTTTCCCGTTGCCGTCTTTACTCGGGGACGCAGCGGAACACTTGAAAGGATTTTCCATCGACTCTTTTCTCGTCCCCGGGGATAAAGCCAGAGCTCTCCTGGCTCCCGCCTCCGCTGCTTCCTCATTCTCTCTCCTGGAGCCGGTGGCACATTTCAGCACCGGAGCTGTCCAGCGGATGGCGGAGATACCGCACTCTCTGACCGCAGGCGCCGTGCCCTACAGCGCGCACACCTTTGGATACCAGACTGGAGGGTTTGGGGGTCTGCCCTGCCCCGCACAGCACACCCACACTCACCCATCGCCTTCCGGCCCGGGATACATGATGCCGTGTAACTGTGGCGCCTGGTCTGCAGCTACTTTACAACCCCAGGTGGCATATATCCTCTTTCCTGGAGGGATGACCAAGAGCGGCATGGACTCGTACGCTTCACCCAGCTCCAGTGTGTGACAGACTGGATACACATAAAGACGCATGGGCAGGAGGGGGAAAGTTTGCGCACAGAAAGAAGAAGAGGTCGTTTAGAGACTCAGGCTTAGATGACCACATTTAAATATTAAAGTGTCAGCGCAGATATTTCAATCATGGATTGATAAAAAAAACAACTATAAAAGTCCCTGTATTACTCCTTATTCCATGTAAATAGAGTAAAAAAAAGTATTTAGAGAAGGGGGAGGGTGGTGATGATGCTAATTTGTTACTCTTTTGTAAGAAAAATCGTTTCAGTTTAAATACAGTGGACATGCATAACATAGGACCAACATGCTGAAGTTATAGACTTGTCTCCTCCCCCCTTTCCAAAACAGGTTTTCATTAGTTCTCACACTTGGACAGTTATTCCACAGAATATCTGCTTCATTAAGTGGGACTGTTTTTGTTTGATTGATTGATTTGTACTCTGAATTGGGAATAATAAATGTTTTCAGAGGGACTGTCTATATATGTATGTTTAGAACTGCATTAAGACTGTGTTAAACCAGGTAAAGCAGTGGGTCAGTTTCTGTTTGATGAATAATATTAAGCAGAAGCTGGTAGTTGTAGTCACTGGGGGTGATTCACAACCCTGTTAATCATATTTTACATCACACATGAGCTGTAATAATTACTTCACTGTTGCGATTGTGTTAAGCTCTAACCACCTATATCTCCTGATAAGCTGTTTTACAGACTTACACTAAAGACAAACAGATACTAAAACATCACAGACACTTCACAGCAACTGACAAACATTGCAAACATTACAAAATTACATTTTCCAGTCCAGTCATGTTTGACTACTGCATGACTCCGTGTGTGTAAGTGTGTGTGTGTTTAAGCAAAAGTGAGCCAGGGTGATGATAAGCGAATAATAGGAACTTATCTCCTCTCCCGTTTGTTGACCAAGTGATAAGCAGAATCATGGAAACTGTATGAGGTACAAGATTGTTTCACGTCTACAATATACAAGAAAGAGAACTCACAGTGAGCTCTGGTCTTCATGTACAAAAGCTCAGCAAGCAAATCTCTTGTATTTGGAAGTGTAAATGGAAAAAAAACAAGGTGTCCTTTATTGTCTAAATGTGCATTTGTTCAGCATTACACGGTAGAAATGCATCAAATATTCCTCACTGTACTTTTAGCAGGGACACTGCAGCTCAAGAGAAAGGAGAGCCTGCAATCTTCTTAAACTTCTTAAGTCCTCCTGTGTAGCTGATGGTGATCTTTGGCCACCCTGATCAGTTCCCGCTCACCTGTGTGTATCTGTACCTTGTTTTTCCAGACTTTTTTCTAGTGTGAGGGAGTTACTAACGACTCTAGACTGACAAACAGTTTGTAATTCGCAGGAATAGTAACGTTCTTTCTCAGGTGTCAGGTGTTCCTATCACCACTGCGTTCACACCACTTGGTAGCCCAACCCATGCTGCCGTATCACCCAGGGGTAACACCCAGTCTCCTCCACCCACCACACTACCGCCATGACTACAAAGCACCTCTTTGCACATTTTGATTCTCTGCATCACACGGCACACCTGTGACACCTTAATCTACACTCAGTTATATGTCCAGCTATACTTTAAGTAGTATCTATTAATCTACACACACACACTGCATCTCCGAGGTATATATTTTCCAGCTTCCGAACCACCACACAACAATGGCGCCTTCAGTTCTGCAAAATGGTGGATTCATCTTGGGTCTCATCGGTGCAGCTGCCCTCATTGCGGCCACAGCCATGAACAACTGGAGCGTGAAGGACAGGCAGGAGCAGGTCGTGACCTCCGTTTATACCTACAAGGGTCTGTGGCAAAACTGTGAGACGACCTCCGCCGGACTCACAGAGTGCCGCCCGCTCTACGGCCTTCTGGGTTACTCAGGTATGGCGAGGCTCTCTCAAGCCTTAATTTTCACATCCTATCTGGTGACTGACTGTTTGCTTTCAAATTAGTCTAAATCATTGTTGTCTTAAACACTGAACATATTCAGGCTGGGAATTATTTTTCCCTCACTGACAAGGTCACAGCCGCAGGAGTTTTTCTTAACAAGGAAATGAACACTCTGCTCTAAAAGGAGATGTTACATTTTCACTGATCATAGAAGCAATTCTGTAATTTGGTTATTTTAAAATGTCTTGAGTGCTCAGGAGACGTTCAGGACAAGGCCGTATGTCGAGATCCAACATATGCTTCCTCTCAAATGTCCCAGGAGGAGGTTGTTTCACATCAACATTTCGGCCATGATGAAAACATGTAAAAGCAACAGCATTGGAAAAAGATCGCTTTCCTCTCTGCGTCTCTTTCATTCAACAAATTTGTAAAAAAACAAAAAACAAACAAAACAAAACTGTAAAATAATGAAGTGAACAACATTGGCTGATTAACATCCTCACTTAGAAACCTCCCTGAACTCTTTGCAAAGTAAAATGTAATTATTAGGTTGAAGAACTTGTAGGGAAAAAAATATGTTTTGCACTTCGGAAACTCATTTTGGTCAACATAAAAACTTGATAAACCTGACTCACAGGTATATTATCATGTCTGTAAAAACTTATTTTTTACATTTATTTGAAATTTTCTTTTATAAAGACTCTGAATATTAAAATAAAAAATACACATATGGATAAACAAACAAATAATGATCATTTTAAAAAGCAAATCCAAACTGGAAACCAACTAAAACTGAAGCGAGGACAAAAATGAAAAATAAAAAAGGAAAAGTGCTGAGAAGTGAAATGCCCCACTGGTAATAATAGGGTGAAAACCTCACCATGTTCATCAGCCATGAACCTGAGTTTTTAAATGTGTCTGTAGAAGTTTTGGACTGTCGTGTAGGATGTAGATACGTTTCAAACTAAGTAAAGAGGAAGTTAAGACAAAACAAAAAAGTGTCACCGAAAGAGATCAAACCCTTGGTTTTTGTGAGGGTTGGGCCCGCACGTATTAGTGTTTGCATTAGCATTTCTATCATAAAGGCCAGGCCCAGACTCGGTTATCAGAAAGCAGAACAAACAACAAGCAAAGGCACCTCCCAACAGCACATCTACTGTAAGAGAACACACTTCAGATCTTTAGACACATTGTATTTGAAGAATTAGTCATTTCAGTATAAAAGCCTACCTGTCAGATAGAAGCCTTGAGTGTTTTTTGTGAAGCCATCTACAGTTTTTGACATAATAAGACTTGAACTGAACTCATCAGTGGTCTTAGGTTGACTAGAGTCAATGTAACGCACTAAGGTCTCCGTGTTTTCTGTCCACTAGGTACCTTCCAGGCGGTGCGAGCTCTGATGATAGTGGGTGTGGTGCTGAGCGTGCTCGGGATGCTGATATCAGTCTTTTCCCTGAGCTGCCTCACAATGAACAAGATGGCAGACAGCGCAAAGGCTAAGATGAGCCTCACTGCTGGCATCATGTTCGTCATCGCAGGTGATTATTTACCTCTGTGAACTTTCTAGTACAAACTAAACTGAATTGTTTTTGTCTTTTTGTTTCTTTTTTTTTGGGGGGGGGGGGTGTCTATTATTGGACACCCCCAGAGTATCTTTGTATGACCAATGGTTCAAAATCATCTTTTTTTTTTAATCTTGCACATTGCAAAACCCGATTGGATGCCCCTCACAAACAGGCAGGTGGGCGGGGCCTCTGTGCTGAAAGTCATACAATTAGGGACATCCGTTGTGACTGGTGTCATTCAAATCAGTGAATGTTTCTCCTAAACTTTGTCGAAATATCCCATTTTTGTTTTTTATACAGTAACCTTAACAGGATTGTCAGAGTTACAGGCCCCTCAAAGAATGCAAATGGCTTAAAATCATTGTTACAGAAAACTATTTTGACATAGAAGTAATTGCAACTTGAAGCTGAGCCTGGCCTGAACAGGTAAAAAGGTCAAACGGAGCTCTTTCATATGAGATAGCTTGTGTGAACCACCCTTGAAGTTGACCCAACATACATTTTTTCCATTTGGTTTCAGTTTTCAATAGAGTTTAAATGGTTTTTGTTATTGATTTTTTTCAACCATGAAATATTCATGTGGTGTATTTATGAAGTTATGAGGGCTCAAATATACTGAAAAAATTTATGCTACCTAAAAAGAGCCAAGTTCTACCCACCCTTAAATACTTTGAGGGCCTGTAACTGGAACAATATGTGAACTGAAGTTAAAATTTTGTACACTTTCATTAGATTATGTTAAAGTTACGGGACCACCAAAAGTAGCAGATTCTGAATGGGTCGGTTGTAAACTTTCCTCAGACCTGGCTGATTTTATATAAAACCATCCACTGACACCATACTGAGCTACACAGTAAGAGTAAGTAAAATACTTACAGTGTTGCCAGCAAGTTGCTGTAACATTTAAAGCAACCATGCTGTAATTTATTTAACATTTGTACAGGACAATGCTGCACAAATGTTGTGATGCTTTAATTTTACTGAGGTTCTTTCACACTAATGTAATCTTGTGCTTTTGTTGTATTTACTTTAATTTGTACAGTTTCTATGATAATTTCTTTCATGAAACTGCAGTATTTGCAAAGAAGTATTGACATTCATCATATCCAGGAGATAACTTTAACTGCAGGAAGTATTCTTAAAGTTCTAGCTAACTGCATCTGACATCTGAAATTTACAGCACAGACTGTATATTTGATCTAATGGTCAAATAAACTGATATGGGCTCCCAGAATGCAGTTTGGATCAGTCTGGGCCCACAGGAATTATTTGCACCTCGTTAGTTAAAACACCTCATATTTAATATGAGCATCCACTGCAGTCATTATAGCAGTATTTGACCAAGCTGAGAGTGTGGCAGAGGTAAATAAATCACTGAGCTCCTGTTTTTCTCCTTCTCTCAGGTGTGTGTGGCATTGCAGGAGCTTCTGTGTATGCCAATCAAATTGTGGAAAGTTTCAGGACGTCCACCTACACCAGCTACACACAAGAAATGATGGGAGAGGGGATGAACATGGGAATGGGCGGAGTAGG